TCCCCACTCCCGATACTTGTTGGAGGTAAAATCTGGGTACCTATCCTCGTTTTTGGTGGGGTTCAGGTTTTCATGCGCGCCCTTGCCTCTGCTCCTACGTTTCTTTTCTTTTTTTTTTTCTCTAATAAATATGAAAAATTTAAAAAAAAAATAAAAGAAAAGTAAGATAATACAAATTTTTACATATGAGAAAGGATCTTTTTATTCTAGGAGTAAGTCTACCTAGACTTACTCCGTTCAATAACTCATGTTCTACATTAAATTTCAACGATCCAACCGTTCAATTTAAAGTTCTCAATGCATAGATAAAATCTTCAAAGTTTTAGAAAATTTGAAAATCATTTGATACTTCATTTCATTAATTCAAATCAATGTATAAAATAATTTTATGATTATCCGTCAATTTGAAAATGAAATAAAGTATCAAATGATTTTCAAATTTTTTAAAAATTTGCAGATTTGATCTATGTATTAAGAACTTTAAATTGAACGGTTGAATTGTTAAAATTTGATGTAGAACATGAGTTATTGAACGGAATAAGTCTAAGTAGATTTACTCATGGAGTAAAAGGATCCCTCCTCTTTACATATAAATATTTCTAATTTTGGTTTACATATATATATATATATATATATATCATTCAACCACACCCCAACTAAAAGTTATGCACAACTCATAATCTATTAATCGGGAAAAATTCGAACTCGAACTCGGTAAACACATATTTTCCCCTTCCAAATCAGGGCGGGTTCGGAAGGGTACCCACGAGGACAGATTAGATTGTCATTCCTAATAATTAGTTATAATTTGATTTTCTTTAATTTGTTTCACACTATTAAAGTTGTTTAGCTTGGTATATATTCATCCTCAAATAGGACATAAATGATAGAGTTGTGAGCGTCATAGTTAAGCAGATGTCTCTGTATTTGTTCATCATTCCATCTATCTCATGAGAGTTCATCCATACTTTTATCCAAAGGAATAGTTTTTGTTTTCAATTACATCTCACATGTCTATGTGACAGACATCATAAAATGCGATCATCCTTTGCTTCTAATAGTCACTGTGGACTCCCGTGAAGAGAGGTGGGTGTTGACTGTTTGTCCTTTGTTCTCCATCTAAGATTATTTCCTCTATACAATTAGATGTTAAACTCCAAGTGACCAAGCTTTGCTACCAACTAAAATATAATGAAGCACACATAGGTATTGAATGTGCGTGTGTAAATTTTGACAAACCTTTTTCACAAGGACAATAAAGCAATTATAAGTCTTAAAATAGTTTCATCTCAAGAGTGTGCAAACACAAGAGGAGAGAAACACAAACAATTTTATATTGATTCACTTAATCTTAAGTTATGTGTAATTATCTTAAAACTAGAAGTTATCCACTAACACAAGGATAATTACAAGTATTATCAATGACACTGGTAGCAAAACTTATAAATACCTATTTACTAAGTATTCTTTACACAAATTTCTTCATGCTTAAGGTAAGATAGTGTTTACAAAGATTATTCTCAAAGACAAAAGGATATGTAAATTTAGCTCACAAGGTTACAACTTTCTAACTAAATGATAAGTGTAGGAAAGATTAGAACATTTTTCATCTAGTGGACGATAACTTAGCTATTACAAGATTGAAAAATAATGATTGATTCCGTAGAGTTTTAGCATAGCTAGAGCATAGGTAATTAAACACTACATCTATTCAATTATCTTGTATTTATAGACTTTCAAACATGTGTCTGTTGTGACTTAGGAGCCCTTCTTGTAGTTGTTTTGTCTTCGTTTGTATTGCATGTTTTAATCTTCATGTTAATGTATGCATTTTGCTTGTGTCTGACTTGGTGCAACTATTCTAGATTGATTGAGGTAGGATATTCCTTCAACTAGAGTTAACTTTGTCTACACAAAACTTTGTACACACTACATTCTTTATTGGACACTTTTTGGGGGGGGGGGGGGGGGGG